GCAACGGTTGCAACATCGGAAAATCATTCCTTAACTTGGTTAAAAAAAAATTTAAAAAAGCACTTTCGAGTGGCAACATCTTACACAAGCTGTTCAACAAAAACAATGTCAAAGTCAGCTATAGCTGCACAAGAAACATTTGTGATGATCAGAGCGCGCAACAAACAGCTTCTGATTGCTAAGCAACAACAGCCAGATAAACTCTGCAATTGCAAAAAAAGATGAATGCCCACTTTCTGGAAATTGCCTTACACCGTTCAAAACTCGATACACAAACAATAAATAGGCCTACACTTTTAACACCCCCAACCAAACACAGAAACAGCACCGTACTCTCTAAATTATACGTATGGAAATTGAAAGACAACACACCCTACAGTATCAAATGGTCTACTATCGACAGAGCGTCGGCTTACTCCACTAAAACTAAACGTTGCAACCTATGCACAACCGAGAAATTTCACATAATATATTCAGACAAACAGTCAAAATTAAACAAAAGAACCCAGCTATTGTCTGAGTGCAGGTACAACAAAAAATCTACATAAAAACAATTAAATCATTTGCATATCCACCTGCCTTAGCATTCATATACGCAAAAAATGTTCTCTCACTCCTGAAGATTACATTAGCATGAAACAGTTGATGTTAGTGTTTATGGTTTCCTGTGAGCGACCATATTAACTGACAGGGACACTCCATAGACAATTTGCGTTATATCATAGACAAAAATATATTTCCTCCATGGTTTTATTATATTAGGCTGTAACTACAAATCTGCAAGAGGTAGACGTTGCTCCGGATTCCGTTTGATCATGCGTATCAAATCACACATCAACGGACTCAAACAAAAATCTAGGCTTTACTAGTGGTTACACATTCACTATTAATAAAGACTAATCACCATAGCAGTCTCCTAGCATGTAACATAAATTATTTACCTATTGTTTCAACCAGTAATTATTTTCTACTGTTGTCTCATTTAGGCCTTTACGATAAAAGGAAATCATACGCAGTTGACGTATTATAGGAACATAATATTATTTGGCACGAATATTTCGTCCTGTCCTCAGGACTTTCTCAACGTGAATGAGACATTAGAAAATAAATAATTAGTAAATAGTTTATATGTTACATAATAGGAGACTGCTAGGGTGATTAAGAGATTAGTCCTTAGTGATTATGTAGCCACTAGCGAAGCCTAGATCTTTGTTGAGGTTGATATGTGATTTGATACACATGATCCAAAGTAACTTTGGAGCAATGTCTATCTTTTGTATATTTATAATTACAGCCTATAATGAAACATAAATTGTCTATGGAGTGTCCCTGTTGCTCGCTGCCAGCCGCCTAAATTAAAATGTTTGTTAACATCATCCAAGTTACACTCACCTACCCACCGTGTCTGAAACCAAGGTGCCAGCTATGTTCAATAATAACTACTGATAAGATATTTCATATACCTGGGACGAATTGTAAAATCCGCTCCCCGAACCTTGATTGTAATATCTGGAATGCTGTGTACATGATATATTTTGTGACAAATGTAAGATAGGCAATTATATTGGTGGGACCCGTACTAAACTTAGATTAAGATTAAATAATCACAAGAAATCTGTTACAGATAAGAGCAAAGGGTATTCTGTGAGCGATCATTTTAAATCTCAGGGACACTCCATAAACAATTTACGTTTCATTATATTAGGCTGTAATTACAAATCTAAAAGAGATAGACATTGCTCTGAATTACGTTGGATCATGCGTTG